GGACCCTATTGTGTGCTTGTGTTTCGCGGAAAAAAAAAAAAAAACGGGGGCCATTTGCAGGCATCAGCTCTGTTGGGTGTATGTAGCTTTTCTTTTCACCCTTCCACGCGTCGATGTGCAATGTATACGGGCACGCGTGCTCTTTTATGTATATATACACCTTCCTCTATATAATATGTGCGTTTATACGCGAACGCCTGCAACCGTATATACATGTACCTACTCGTTGCGTTTTGCTCGAAACTTCCGTGTATGTGTATACACTCCGCGATGTTATCCGGTTTCATCCTCTTGCGCGCTGTTTTTTTTTTTCCCTCCACTTTTTAAATTGTTTGTTTCACGTTGCAGACTCGTTTTGGTTATTTCAACCTAATTTTCTCTCTTTCTCTGGCCATAGTATAATCGCGAATGAGACGGGTATACACGTAAATGCAAGGGTTGGAGAAAAGGGATGATCCCTTGTTGTGCGCATTGCTCGTTACATTGTACAATATACACCTCCAAGAGCACCCAAATATTTTCAACTCGATGTTTTTCCGAAAATCCTGCATCTCCCTCGTTATATTACCCGCTTATGCATATACAACTTAATTGTAGTACATCAGCTATGTGCTGTACACTCTGCAGTGTAAATTGTGTACAGCACGCGTATATTATATAGGCTGGTGCGCTGCAGATGGTCGGCGACGAGGAGAAACACCCGATTTTTCTTTATTTTCCCTTCCATGCACACACAGAGACGGGATTATACCCGAAGTAATACTTATATATACATATATGCATATATACGAGAATTAGCTTTTCCTTCGGTTCCGCAGTTATGATCGCTCTCTCTTTTCTCTGCAGCTTGTACGCATATTGGGCCTTGGAAATCGTGGACATGCGTGTGTATAATTATATATGTACACATATGCAGAGCAGCTAAGCACACAATTTGTACATGATAACGCGGGGGAAAAAAATAAATGAAAGATCGTCGACTCGTTTGCTCCTTGACTCTAGCGATTAGGACCACTCGTTCAGAACGCGAGTATAGATTTGGTATACTGACACATCTCTGGTCACTAAAACTATATAATTCAACGAGCACTATATCTATTGTAGCCCTTGCAGCTATTTGGTATGTGTCTCTCTCGTCATGTACACGTCCCTCCGTATAGATCACGTGAGGGTGAATTATTCGAGCGTCCGCTCACCAATTTTCGCGAACCGAATTGAAAATATACGAAAAATATCAAGGCTTCAAGTATAATCGGATCCTCGTGTTTGTCTACAATTATTTACGTTGTGTACTTAATGTATCGTGTACCATTTGTTCCATATAATCGCAGTCGGAGAGCGACGCTTGGCTCTTTCTGTTTTTCTTCGACAAAAGTGATGAAAAAACATGTTCCAGTCCCTCGCGGGCGTGCGTGCCAGTGTCACCAAAAAGAAAAAAAAAAAAAAAAAAATCAACCCAAAATGAAAAAGCAAGCCGTTGGAACGTTGCAGCAGCACCCTTGCGGAACGTTGCGGCTCTCGAAATTAATACCGCCCGAATTAAAAATTGCCTTTCAATTTAGAGAGCCAGGCGGTAGATACACCTACATCTAGGTATACTGCACATACGGCCCACAGTCTCCGACGATCGCATTGCGCCCTCGTCCAATATCCCGGACATGCATGCGCGGGTGCCCGTGTACGTATATATATATATGATACACCAGTGGAGAAGCTAGCGCGATCCCTTTTTCCATGAGCTGTGTACCGACAAGCCGCGCCACTCTGCATGTATGTATATGTATAACTTGGTATCCATACCTATATTCTGTAATGCAGGTCCGCGAGAACCAGCGAAGGCTGCCGCACACCCTTTCCTCGCGTTACATATACCCATGCTCGTGCATCTTATATATATATACACGTATAACCACACGTTGCACTGCATCTATAGCGAGTGTGTGTGCATTGGATGGGATACAAGGTAGTGCATGTACATAATATATAAACAGAGGCAACCCCCGAGAATGTGGCTGTGTGCATTCTCGGTCTCCCGCCCCCTTTGAACCCTTTCTCTCTCTCCCTTTTGCGCCAACGCCAACGCCGTCCGAGCGAAGGGCTTGCCCGACAATGTGTGTATATATACCTACACATAATACATATATGCAGGCAACGTCAGCTCGACGACACCAAGACGACGAAGGCTTGATGCACGATCGGTATATACAACATGTTTATTGCCTACCATATAATATTATAGAGGGGACGTATATTATTGGCAACGTTGTCGCTCTCATCGCGTACATTAAACCGTCACGTTGTTAATTTGCTTCGTGCGCCAAAACGTGACGACAATGAATAATTATTTTAATTAACTGAACCGTTTGTTACAAAAACAATGTGTTACGTTTCTTTCTTTAAATGTACATACTGGCAAAGTCGTTCTTACACATATTGGGCTGCTGCTATACCATGTACCTGCACACACGTGATGATAATATGACATGCATCTTCCGATATGAGTTTAACGTTAAACGATGAAAGTCATTGCTCGTGGAAACCGAGGAAAATTACAGTGGCTAGCAATAACGACTTTAAGCGTATCGATTAACGCGCGAACGCGAGCCTCGAGGCGATAGATTGTATGATTGAAAACTCGAAGAAGAAACGCAGCACGGGAAATTGGCGTGAGAAATTTTTCGACCTTAGGTAAGACGCAAAAGAACCACGCGTATGTATATATATATATATATATATATATATATTTGTACATAAGGCATTGTGTCGCGTATCCGCGGGGCCATATTGCCAAACGGAGAAACGAATCACATGGGTGCGCATCACATATATATAAACTATACTTTGAGAAAGAGCGACGGTAGAGTCACGCCTTCTAATCCGGCCTCTCGTTTTCCTTGGCACAGCCATCAGAAGCGCGTTCCCGATGGCCCTCCGAAACACGAGCGCGGGAAAGAAGAAGGAGAAGAAGACAAAGGGAGCGCAGGAAGAAAATGAAGAAGAGACATCAGGGATGTACAAGGGGAAGTCGTTGTACACCGCGCGCATATGCTGCCACGAGCCTCGGGGACCATATTATAGTCCGGCGGCGCAAAAGAACGAGGAGAGATAAAATGCCGAGCTTTTCGGGGAACAGCGTCCCTGATGCTGCCGGTACACCTCGCAATGTATACCTATATATATATATATGGGTGTGTGTGTATTATACACCGTATAGCCCTGACCAGAGGGAAAGGCGACGCGGGGAGGGATAGAGGAAAAATTATTTCTAGGTATATATACACACACAGTGCTGCGTGGCTCCAGACGCGCTCGCGGGGCTACGTTTCCTCCTTTGCCAGGACACACCATTAGCCCCCCCCCCATCTTTCTTTTCCTCTCTTCACCTTTACTGAACATATATATATATATATAATATGCCTGGCCGCTGTTGCAGCCGCTCGCTCTCCCTTGCATGTAGCTCGAAAATGTGCGTCTTGCCGCGACAGCCCTCGCGCGCGACGCGCTCCCTCTTTTTAGCGCTTTCGGGTGTCTGCGAGTATATTTACCATTAGGTGCACGCACACACACAAGCGCAAGGTGATATATACCTACTCCTCCTGCGACCTCGTTGCTCGAGCGTTTCCGAGCAGCGTGGGAGGCTGCTGTCCCTCACTCACTCACTCTCTCTTTCTCTCTCTTACTCGTTTATTAAACGCTCGCCTCCTTTGCGAGATGTAGGTTCATGTATATATATATATATATATGTATAATACACGGGGCGTTTTAGCCTGACGAGGCAGCGGTGCTTGGCTCTCGGAGAATCAACGGGAATTAGCGGAAATTGAGGGCTTACGCGACCTTTTCTCTCTTTTTTCCTCTTCCTTTTCTTTCTTTTCTTTCCTTTTTTTTTTTTTTTTTTTTTTTTTTTTTTTTTTTTTTTTTTTGCTCGTTTCCCCCTTCTCGTCTGCGCGCCAGCTCCCGGTGGCCGTGCCGGGTTTTTAATTTTCAAATCTCGCTCTTCACGGATATAATTTACAAGCTCCATACGGCCGCGCGTGTTTTTTTTATTAAAACGTAATTGGTGTCCATCATTTTGTTATTAAAATGCGAAAATTGCGGAAAATAATACGCGTGCGCTCCCTTGTTTTTGTTGATGTGGCCCGAGGGGCTGTTTGGATGTATATATAGATGTATACACGCCTGAGGCCAATAATAGAATGATTCCTACGCATTATCGAAATTCGCGATAATTTTTTTTTAAAAGCAGTGTCTACATATTATCGGGGCCTCCTATCATAGCAGCTATAATTAATGGATTACATGATTTTATACAACAAACAGTCAATTGATCAATTTTGAATGTTTACACGAGAAAGAGGAGTTGACGAACATTTGGGCATTTCGAGAGAGAGAAAAAAATGTCTAGTTTTTTGTTTTCATTATTGTTTGTTGAAATGATAATTCATTTCTAAATCTTTGTTTCTAACGCGAGACATGCATTATTAATTCACGTCCAGATTTTAATATATTATCGTACGGGGTAACAAAAAGAAATGGCCTTATTGTATCGATTGGACTTGTACGTACATGGGTATTTTGTAAAAAACATTAATATTTTCTTACAAATATGCTGACAGTTGATCGCGCATTGTATGGTAGGCAAAGCCAATCTGTGCAAGTATATGTAGAATGCAAGTGCTTTCCCACGCTCGTAAACTCATCGAAGTGTTAGAAACTTGTGCGTGCAAAGTGGGAAGGTTAATCCTCGTAGCTTTTAAACGGATGAGATAAACGTCCGAATTACTGTTTACACTCCCTCGTGGCATTTAGCTCGAGTGCAATAAAGATACACGATAAACTGCGTCTTCTAAAACCAAAAACCCATGTAGTTGCTGCGTTTTAACTCTTCTGGGTACATAATCCGGTATTCTAATTAACAGAGGCAATGTATTACTCTCTTTTGAACGCTGCCTGTAGAATTGATGGATTTTCTTTGAGAATAAAACAATAAAAGACTAAACTTTATTTTGCTGGTTTGTATATAACTTATTTACAACAGATGTACATACAGATCTACTGCATAGTGCAAAAACAGAAAAAAGGTATAAAAATATAATATTAGACATTGTCTACAGATGACTTGTTTAACAGTGTTTGTAAATTTCTAAATTTTACATTGCACTGAAGTGGAATTTGTGTGCTTCTTGTGATTTCTGAATATTATCGTCTCGCCTTTCCTTCAAATACAGAGCGGCGATAATTAAAGTTATCAGTCCGCAAATTCCCGTCAATGCGACAGCACAGTGTGATACTAGCTTATAAGGTATAACCAAAAGTGCCTTCCACTCTGAAGATTCCGACAATGGGTTTGTTACCACCACCATATGTGAATTAGGGATGATGTACGATGTCCATTCCCTCGATTTGTTGAACAGCTGAAACGTCATTATTTCATCTCATATTATATTCATATTATATGAGCCATATGTTTGGTTGAGAATATTTCATAACTGACATTTCAGACACGTGGGTAGATAAACATTTTAGAAATTTCAGGGAAACATCATGATAATCTTGTCAACAAATAAGTCGTTTGGGAGTAACAAGGTAATAATTTGACTGTGTACTGTAGACAATGCCAATAATTCAATTCTACGCTTTAGCGTTGCACTTGAAAATAAAATAGGGACAGCTTGATATTAATAAGAAAATTATCTAAACTTACCCCAACACTCAACGAGTCCACGAAATTGTGTGTCCTTCCCAAGCCAAAAATAACAAATGGTAAATTCATAACGTTATGTGCGCTCTGTGGTAATTGGGCAACTGTAGCTTTTCTTAAAGAGCCATATTTAGTTGTAATTTTGTAAGCAATCGATGCTCCGGGTAGATTTGTCCCACAAAAGTGGCTATTTTTCATTCGAGGTTGTACAATATCCTGACTACTATGCGTTGTTTTCGATATAACCATCACCTTTAAAAAGGTAGTGTCATAGCCGTCACTGTTTTTAAAAGCAGCTGTTCTATAAACATCACCTTCATCTCTTAACACGAATATTATATCCAAAAAACCTGTAAAAAAATAGTAGTTGAATTATTGAAATAAGTTATGAGCTTAAATTTTACTGTATTGCAATATAAATATTTTTCACGTCGTATTAAGTAACATACCGTTGTGATAGAAGTCGTAAAATACTGCGGTGACGCTATTATTATAGGACAGATCAAACCTGTTCCAATGTACTTTAAAAGTACGATCGAAACTGCCTTTACTATTGGTAGGGGTATTTACAAGAACGAATGAACGGGTTTTGCCAGACGTACTAGTAAGAGTGACCAGCAAATCTAGATAACCATCCAAGTTAAAATCACCACCTCTCATTGTTATGGTATCGATGTATTTCCTTTCACTATCGTGAGCAAAACCCCAAGTGGTACCTGCATCGTCTATAAAACTTACTTCCATGTCTTTCCATTCATTATTCCAATAAACGTAAATGTGACTGTCTCGGCACTCTTTATCTTTGCAAACTGGTAAAACAAAATTTATTTCACCCTTCGATGCCACATCCAAGTATGAAGTTTGACCAACTACACTGAATTCAGGAATTGGAATATCTTTCGAATATCGAAACCCGCTTTTCTGTCTGTACCATATTTCAAGACTTCTGTTGGCACTCTTGCTTTTGTCCATGTTTTGAGTTGTCACGACTAAATCGGCCAAGGAATCGTTATTTAAATCCAAAAATGCATTGGAATGCGGCATTTGAATTGGTTTTGAATCTAAATTAAAAGTTAAAATGTATATGAAAATGTGCACATGTATTATTTAATTAGGGTGATGTAATAAAAAATTATTTATGAACCTTTATCTGGTGTTGTCATTTTTGTCGAATTTACTGTTCTGTCATTGTTGAAGATCCAAAACATACGATTGTTGTGAACGTCAGTTCCAAAAAGATCAATAATCATGTCGTTGTTATAATCTATCGCCAGTGGTTGCCCTTTCATTTTTAATATGCTTTTTCGTGCATTAGAGCAGTTCAGACGTTCTTTTTCACCCCAAAGTATGTAGACTTCCGTTATTTTGGTTTTCTCATCGCGAGTAGTGACTAATACATCCATGAAATCATCTCCATCGAAATTTCCAGGCACAACACTAGTAATATTTTTGTCGAATGGGCAATTGTATTGTTCTCTCGATCGCAGTAGAGGTTTTTCGTCCGAGGCAAACATTACTTGAACTGTAGTGAAATTTTTTATGACAAACATGTCGATAAGCTCGTCAGAATCGAAATCACCAAACGCAGCTGGCAATCCATGAACATCTCCGCCAAAAACAGTCGAAGTAATGTCACTACTTTGTCCCAGTACCACTAGAGTACTGAGAAAACTTAGGAAAATCAAACTTTTCATAATTATTGTGTCAGCTAAAATGAAACAAAAAAGGCTTCCAATTAATAAAGATTCCAAAAGAGAATTTAACATTTTGATGAATTAGTATACTACCATGCACACAGTATACACCAGTTACCTTTATTATAGATAAAAAATTAAAACTAAAGTACAAAGATATTTCATACAAAGGTAAAATCAAATAAAGCGTCCTCGTTGCGTCACGGCAAAAGCAGTAACTAATTGAAATATGGAAAACTACAAATTTTTCTATACATAGACTGACATGACGTCATCTTGCGCTGTATATGACTGAGTTTACAATTAACATTTCCATTGCGTATTCTGCTTCCCCCTGTTTTGTTCTGATTATACACCTACTTTTTCCATGAAACATTATTTACGAAAAAAGAATATTGTCAACATAGGTTATGTGTTGATTCAATCGAGTTTTTATGTGTTAAAAAAGAGAGAAAGTAACATGTGAGTTAGAATTTAGATTATTTAGAGTTTTCGCGACACTCTGAAGGAACCCTTACGACACTTTGGTTATTTATAGTAATCAAGGTACCAGTAAGTAATCAGTGAGGTCATTGTAAATTTTAATACTTACAGTATAATCACTGCAACAACAATTTATACGATTTCATCCCAAAAACTCTTACATCTCTGCACGTTTTATATTCTAAAGGTACACGAATTCTAATAAAAGTACACGACCATCGCCATTTAAAACTGACAAATGTTTAGTCACTCGAGCCAATGACGGACAGAAACTCTGTATATACAACTCAGTTAACACTGCATACTAACCTTTTGAAACGTTGCAGTTTTCAATACACTCGACGTAGGTATTTGTATATTCAAATGACATATACACTCACGTTCTTAGAATTATAGTTTCTCAACTATTAGATATATTTATTAAGGTAATAAAGAGGGGCCACGCGAGTGATACGCAAAGTAGGAAGTCAAGTAAAGTTAGAGCAAAAGACGCAAATTATTATTCATATACGTACGTAAGTGAATATATAGTTAATTATCTTTACCAGTAATAACAAAATTAGTCACTAATAGAAGAAAAGTTGAGAAGACGAAAGGAATACGTAGCCACGTAGAAAGTGACATTCATTGTTAACGTTAGTGTGTTGAATCATCAGATACAAGTCAATTTTATAATATGTTGCGCACAATTACAAGCAGAATATTATTTTGTACAACAATAAGCGCTTAAACATTTTCAAACAGGCATAATCGTGTGTTAAAAACGTAACCTTTCTTTTGAGAAAATATTGATGAGTCACGTTTAATAGTTTCTTTGTTTTGTATGTATGTATGTATGTAAGACTTTATTTAAACCTTGTGGTATAACCACGTATGCGTAGAGGTTTTAATCTTACACATCATTTAAGCAAACGTCACATATTATTGCTAGAACTGTCACGCTACGGTTACACCGTATCACACCTGTCAATTTCTTTAGCGATGTACAGTAGTCTCGCCGTCGGACGGTAATTACTTTTATCGTTATCACAACGTTAACTACAACTTTACCTAGTTTTATCTTGAAGCTTCAATTACCATTATCGTCCGAATAATGCGTCCACGTTCGTTACGAAATCTTGGTTGACGTATAACAGCAATGTACGATTTTAAGTATCAGTTTATAAGAAAAGCAATTACTTATTTACGTAGTTGAGCTCGTTGACGCCATCAGGGTATCGAACATCCATCTTAATTTTCGTCACTACCATTATAGATATTTAAAAAATATCATTTTTTTTTCTCAAATTCTGTAGTATCAATACTATTACTCTACTATGTTCTGCATTTTGCAATTAAAAAAAAACTCAGTTTCATTACAAGCGTAACCTTTTCATGATATCTTAAGATACAGGACGGTAATGTAAATAAGACAAATCAAATTACGCACCAATTGGGAACTAGACGAGTTTTTTCCATAAATAAAATGGTAACTCTATTCTAAAAAATGATTAACTTCACTGTTGATCAAATAACTAATCTACAATCGGTTACGTGCAATGATGTTTGTAATAGTTGCATGCATGGGCTGTTTAACGTATCTTGCGGCCAGCCATAACTAATGTTCACGCCCCATAAACCTCTGGATCCTCGTTTCAATTTTCACGATGTCGATCAGGCACCATTGACTCTCTCCCCCGTATGGATATACAGCCCCGTAACGACTTATCAAACAAAGCGGTATTAAAAAATCACAGAGTCGAAATTTATGCGCACGTATAGCCGGCACTCTACATACACAAGGCTTCGTTGTTCTTTGGTTGAAAAAAAAATCATTGGCGCATCGAGGGCCATTTAAAGAAAAAAAAGCCCCCTGCAGTCCCACGGGAGATACGTACATGTACAGCGCTGCGTGTAAAGGCGAAAAAAAAAAGACAAATCTGTCGGCAACACGTATACGATTTACACCAATCATCCATAAAATGCACACTTCCACGCCCGCTCCGGGGCTCTTGCGACTAGTTACAAAGGGCCAATCTGCATAATACGTCATTTATTCTTTTTTCTCTGCCTCTCCTCGCTGTGTACAACAGTATGTGCGCAACAGATCGGTACTGACTCTCTTTTGTAGGGCGAAAATTCAATGCTCGACGTCGATAGGGAAACAAAAAAAAAAAAAACCTAGGAAAACACGCGCGAAACTGCCCTTCCGAAATACACGAGGCCTGCATCAGGAGCGATGGGGCAATTATACGCGAACGACCCTCTACAAATCAAGCAAGGAAGGAGCGCAGCGTCGCACGAGGAAAGGAAAAAAAAAAAAAAAAGGCATCATCGACAAGTTGGAGTGCGTACAACAACTGTAGGCCATATGTGCATCGCGCGGTAGCGGCAGACCGGGGGCTATACGTATGCAAGGCTCCCTCGCGAGACCCAATCAACTCAATTTGCCCGATGCACGATGCATACATGTATACGTATACCAACGAGCGTCGAGAAAACTCTCGAAAACTCACAAAGTCTTATTTCCGATACCCTCCGCCCCTCCAATCTACCACCCACTGGTACCTACATCACATTGACCTCGCACCCTCGAGGATGGAGAATCGGTGGCGCAAAGTCCGTGTCGATAATCTCGCGCGCGCTCGCCCGAAAGGAGACGACGACGACGACGACGAAGGGGCCACAAATTTGGTAGAGCGAGAGGAGGAGGGAGAGGAAGAACAGTAGGCAGAGGTAACCGGAGGTCCTGCCGAGCGGAGGGAGAGAGGAGATAATTTCGCTGGCGCGCCAGCGACGCCTTCGGCGCATTCCTGCTGCCGGAGCTAGCTTAGCTGTAAGGAGCCCTCGCATCACGTATATACGGCTAGGCAAGGAGAATGAAGGGGGGGGGGGAAGGAACGAGCGCGGCTCCCTCGCGAGCAGCGGCGGCCTCGAACGACCCTCGGCTCTTTCTCTCCCTCGTGCTTTGCCGGGAGAAAAATGTCCGTGAGCGCGCCGGAACGAAGGGACGCGGCGACGCCGAAACCCGCCACGTGTTTCACGGCTCGCTTTATCTTTCCCTCGTCGCCGCCGCCGTCCCCTTTTTTTTTTTTTTTTTTTCTCTCCGGCGTGTGCGTGCCGTCCTCGTCTAAGCGACCCCGCGGGGTGCGGTAATGCGAGGCAGCAGCGGCGTAGATGGCGGCTGCAGGCACGTCCCGCGGTGCGGCTATCCTCTCGCGATTTCCCTCGCCTCCGGCAGCTCATATATATATATATATATA